CCGGCGCCCGCGCCCGCGGCCAAGGCGCCGTCGGGCTACCCGCCGATGGCGACGAAGGCGCCGAGCAAGCTGCCTTTTGGAGCTCCGGCGCCCGCGGCCAAGGCGCCGTCGGGCTACCCGCCGATGGCGACGAAGGCGCCGAGCAAGCTGCCTTTTGGAGCTCCGGCGCCCGCGCGCCAAGGCGCCGTCGGGCTACCCGCCGATGGCGACGAAGGCGCCGAGCAAGCTACCCTTCGGGGCGCCCGCGCCGGCGGCCAAGGCGACGAGCAAGCCGGCCTTTGGCGCTCCCGCGAGCGCGCCGGCCTTTGGCGCTCCCGCGAGCAAGCCGGCCTTCGGCGCCCCCGCGAGCGCGCCGGCCTTCGGCGCCCCCGCGAGCGCGCCGGCCTTCGGCGCCGCGGCCGCGCCGGCCTTTGGCGCGGCGACGCAGGCCCTCGGCGAGACCAAAAGAGCGTTCGGCGACGCGACGCGCGCGCTCGGCGCGGCGCCGGCCGCCGCGACGCTCCCGTCGTTCAAGGAGATCGAGGCGTCCGTCGGCGCGCCGGCCGGGGGGGCGCGCTCCGGCGAGCGCAAGGCCTACACGGTGCCCCACGACATGGTCGTGCCGAGGGACGCGGCGGAGGCCGAGAAGTGGCGCGTCGTGCTCGACTTCGAGCAGTCCATGGCCGACATGCGCGAGGCCATGCGCGCGTCGAAGGTCGAGGTCGACGCCGCCGTCGACGAGGGCCGGAGGAAGGGCGAGGACGAGCGGCGCGAGCTCCGCGAGGCCCAGGCGCTCGTGCGCGAGTACCGGGCGCAGGAGCGCGAGCTCGGCGAGATGCGCGCGCAGCTTCTGGGGAGCTGCGAGGACGTGCGCCGCCAGTGCGCCGACGCCAAGTCGTCCCTGGAGATCGCCGAGGGCACGCTCGCGGACTGCGACGACCCGGAGAAGAAGGCCAAGGCCGACGAGTGGGCGCGGGTCCTCGAGACGCAGCCTCTGGACGTCGCGTCCAAAGCGCGGCTGGAGCGCCTCGAGAAGCTGGCCTGCGACGTCGCGTCGACGCTCAGCGACGTCAAGCTCGTCAACGAGCACCGCGAGAAGCTCGAGGCGTCGTTGCCGAAAGCGACGGTGTCGTCCTTCTTCACGTCGCCGCGGCGCACGTCGCGCGGGCCCGGCGTTTTGGGCGACGCGACGAACGACGGGCCCAAGGCGTCGGCCGCGCCGCTGCTCATCCGGCGCATCAAGGCGACCTACGAGGCGTCGCTGCGGGTCACGGAGGTGACGCTGCCGGACCTTGACCGGCGCCTGAAGCTCGCCCTCGAGGAGAAGCGCGAGCTCGAGCGCCGCATCGAGCGGTCGCGCGAGGACGCGTCGCCCGAGTCCGCGGCCGCGGGGTCCTACTTCTCGCCCGGCGGCGACGAGCCCAAGGCGCTGGCCGACGCGCCCTTCGCGTCGTCGCACGAGCACGACGAGGAGGCCCAGCTCCAGCGGAACCTGGCGGCCCTCTTCTCCCAGCCCTTCAAGACGGTCGTCCGCGACTTCCGGCCGCACGTCGTCGGGGTCGTCGGCGCCAAGCCCCCGAACTGGCGCGACCGCGCGCCGCCGCCGGGGTCCGACGGCCCGCTCCCGGCCGTCGTCGACGAGTCGCTGCGGGGCGCGGAGCACTGCGTCTGGTCCGCGAAGCGCCTCGACAAGGCGCGGCGCGAGGCCGACGAGGCCGCGCCGCTCGCGGCCGCGGCGACGCCGCCGAAGGCGCCCCCGGCGGCCGCGCCGTCGCCGAAGCCGCCGGCCAAGGGCCGGCCGCTCGAGCCCGACGCGTCGAGCCCGCCGCGCAAGGCCGACGCGCCCGCCTTCGGGGGCTTCGGCGCCGGCGCCAAGGCCGACGCGCCCGCCTTCGGGGGCTTCGGCGCCGGCGCCAAGGCCGCGGCGCCGCCGCCGCCCGCGGGGCTCGGCGCCGCGGCGCTCGGCGTCTCGGCGCTCTCCGTTCGGCGCCGCGGCGCCGTCGTTCGGCGCGGCCGCGCCGCTCGGCGGGCAGGCGTCGGCCTTCGGCGCCGCGGCCGCGCCGGCCTTCGGCGGCGGCGCCGCCGGCGGCGCGACCTTCGGCGCCGCCGCGGCCCAGTCGTCCTTCGGCCAGCCCGCGGCCGGCGGCTTCGGCGCGCAGCCCTCGGCCTTTGGCGCGCAGCCGTCCGCCTTCGGCGCCGCGCCGTCGGGCTTCGGGGCGAGCGCGCCGAGCTCCTCCTTCACGCAGTTCCGGGGGTAACGTGTGCGTACTTAGTAGTTGCGCGCGCTGCGCCAGAAGGCGAGGACGTGGCGGAAGACCTCGTCCGGGACGCCCAAGTCCGTGAAGAGGCGCTCGACTTTCGCGGGGACGCTCGACGGCCCGCGCTGGAGCGACGGCAGCTGCCGGCGGAACTCGACGAGCTCGTTGCGCGGCGCAGCGACGTAGGGTAGCCACCCGCCGGCAGCGCGGACGCCGGCGAGGAGGGCGGCCACGCGCGTGTCGTCGTCATCGTCGTCATCGTCGTCACTAGAATCCGCTGATTCCTGTCCATCGCGCATGTCAAGTGTTGCACCACGGCTTAGGAGGAGCTTGCATATTCGGGAAAGGTCTCCTGATTCACCGTATACGTTGCAAGTCATCGGGTCACCCTCCCTTTCAATATATTCGAGCGCGGTTCCCACGGTTTCGCCCGCGTTGACTCGAGCGCCGTGGTCGAGCAAGATTTCCGCGATTGTGTAATTATTCCTCATAGCAGCAGCGTGAAGTGTTGGAATCCCGAATCTGTTCACAGCGTTGGCGTCGGCTCCTTGGGAGAGGAGCCACTCAACAGCGGAGCGCCAACCTTCTAGAGCCGCAGCATACAGCGGTGGACAGAATCCGTCGTGTCCTTCATCAAAGCTCCTGAGAGTAAGCTTCCCTTGGGCACTTGCGACAAGAGCATCGATGCCGAACTGGTCAGTCGCAAGACCCGCCTGTACTTTTGAAAGGAAAGCCGCCTCTGCTGCGTCCATCAGGTCGCCTCTGCTGCGTCCTTCGGGGCATTCAGCGATCGCGACCCAATGCCAAGGCCCCAAGGCTTGGGCCAAGCAGCAGCAGTGTTTGACGCCTAAGTTGACGAGCGCCGCCGCCGACGAAACTAGCACGCAATCCGAAGCGGGACCAGCCACACCCCCTTAAAACAGCGCGAGGCTCCGCCAGGAGCCGAGCGGGTCGGCCGCGCCCGCGAAGCCCGGCAGCGCGCAGGGGTAGACGTCGTTGCTGCTCTCGCCGAAGTGCTCGCCGAAGACCGACGACTTGGCGTAGGACGCGTCGGCGTCGAAGGTCAGGTCGTCCTCGAGGTAGCCCGCGTCGAAGGTCGGCCGCGTGTTGAAGGTCACGCAGCTCACGTCGTCCCCGGGCGCGAGCGTCGCGCGCGACATGCGGTGCGGGTGGATGGGCGGCATGGCCGGGACGCCGTCGAAGGACCAGCCCGTGCGCTCCATGGGCCCGTCGACGTCCGGGTAGGGCGCCGCGGGCGCGACGGCGACCGCGGACGCGGCGTCGTCGCCGCGCGGGCACGGCGCGCCCGGCGGCTTCCGCACGGGCGACGGCCGCGGCGCGGCGTCGTCGTCCAAAGCGACCATGGGGAAGCCGTCGAACCAGGGCCGCTTCCGGGCCCCGGCGCGCTTCGCGTGGGACCGGATGTCGTCCTTGACCTTGCGCCGCCTTATCCGCGCGCGGATGTCGTCGTCGAGGTGCCAGAACGCGTGCTGCATGCGCCGCGCGTTCTTCACGTGGCGCGACAGGCCCACCAAATTGAACTTCTTGAACTTGCCCTGGACGGGCGACATCCACCACGTCTCCCGCCGCCGCCGCTTGAAGCACCGGCGGAACGCGGAGAACGCTTTGGTCGCGCCGACGAACGCGTTGAGGTGCATCTCGAGGGCCTCGAGGCGGTAGCACGACAGGTGGGCGCACTCGAGGCGCCGCGACGCCACGAGCGTCGCGGCGACGACGGCCTCGGCCATGGCCATGCGCGGCGTCGCGAGCCGCTGCTCGTCACTCAGAATCCGCGGCTCGTCGTCCGCGCCGCCGTGGACGGACGACAGCGAGTCGCGCCGCTCGCCGTCGCGCCCCAGGTTCATGTCGAGCACGTCCTTGGGGATCCACGTGCCCTGGAGCACGGAGCACGCGCACTGCGCGTAGCGGAACCGGCTCACGGCGAGGTCGCGCGTCGCGTCCGCGCCGTGCGCCGCGCCCCCGCCGGCGCCGAGCGCGCCGCCGTGGCGCGCGACGAGGGCGCCCCGCCCGCCGCCGAAGGTCGAGCCGCCCCAGGTCGCCGCGAGCTGCGCGCTCCGCATCGCGCGGACCTCGCGCTCGTAGTACAAGAGGAACGACACGGCCGCGGCGAGCACGTAGGCCGCGCACTCGTCCCGGTGGCTGAAGGCGCGCGTGCGCTGCGCCAGCGCCAGCTCCGTCGTGACGCCGCCCCGCGTCTCCGGGCCCGGGCCGAGCCACGCGCGGCGGTTCAGCCGGTTCGTGAGCTGGAGCACGCCCAGGCACCGCTTCGCGTCGCCGCCGTCGCCGAGGCCGTGGACCTGGTGGGGCAGCACCAGCGGCACGCAGAGCGTCGACCGCGTCATGTAGCGGCCGCCGACGTCGAAGGCGGGCTGCCGCGGCCCGCCCATGCCCGCGCGCGCCTCGGCCCACGACGCGACGTTCGCGACGTTCAGCAGCGCGCGCGACTCGTAGCAGGCCTCGACGGTGGGGTCCTCGGGCCGCGACGGGTGGCAGCGCTTCCAGCGCGCCATGTCCGTGGAGAAGCGCGGCCGCAGGCGGCCCGTGCGCCGGTTCATCGTGTGGATCGTGACGACGTCCGCGCCGGCGACGAAGCGGAGCTGGCGCACCGCGACCCGGAGCAGGACGTCGATGTCGAGGCGGTCGCAGATGGCCACGGGCCCGAGCGTCGACGCCATCTCCTTGCGGAGGCGCGCGGACGTCGCCGGGTGCTGCGACCGCAGGAACCACTCCGCGAAGTCCTCCGTCGGCGGCGGCAGGAGCCGCGACGGCCGCCGGCCCGTGAGCGCGCGCTGCGTCTGGCGCATCGTCGACCGCGCCTGCATGGCCGGCGACAGCTCGACCTTGGGTTCGCCGCCGCCGCCGGCGCTGCGGCGGAGCGTCGA